ATAACCAGTGATGTTACCGTAGACATACCATATGATGACAGATATAACCAGTGATGTTACCGTAGACATACCATATGATGACATATATACCCCGGGATGTTACCGTAGACATACCATATGATGACAGATATACCCTGTGATGTTACCGTAGACATACCATATGATGTTACTGTTGACATACCCCATGAAGTTACTGTAGACCTATCCCTGTTTTTTTACTGTAGGCTCAGGCACACCACAAGATGTCATATTAGACATGTCACGTGACGTAAATGTAAGCATACTCTATGACGTTAATGTAGGCATACTTTACGATGACAGACATACCCTGTGATAATACTGTCATAATAATATTAGACTTACCATACGATGTTACTGTAAGTATGTTAATGTTGGTATATTCCGTGATATTACTGTAAGATTACCCTCCTGATATTATTATAGACATATCCCATGACGTTACCCCACTCTATATTATACATACATACCCCATTCAACAAGTTCCCTGTAAAGTGTGTTTTCGCTACCAGGACAGGATGCCACCCAACATGGTAGAGAGATGAGAAATTTCCTGTAACATTCCGAGGCTCGGCGAAGGTGAAACAGGAAGCTGTGTACTTTCTCAAGACACTTTAAAGGACAAAGAGGTTCTTTTTTAAACTCAAGGTAAGCACACAGGAGGGATTTCTCGCATGAATGAACGAGAGAATGAAGAAAGCCTTTCGTGCCTGCCTGCTTGCCTGCGCGTCGGTGAAAAGACAGGAAATGGGTGCACGATAGATACGATATTTCTTTGGTCTAAGATATGTCATCGTACATCAAAGGGTGGGAACCGTGTGTCAGAGCGTTGAATAAACTAATGCGAGTGAATAGCCGAGAAAAACTTTTGTGTTGGAAATAAATGCATATATTAAGTGGAGATAAACGCATATAGTGAGTGGGAATAAGTGCATATTGAAGGACACACTGCTGACGTCAATCACATTTTTCCTTCCGATATACAAATTCTATTTTTTTTTAAAATATATACTATATACAACAATGCGGTCATCTCTTCTCTGAAAGATAGATAGATAGACAGATAGATAGACAGAGAG